CAGAAACAAGCAGGGCCAGAAAGAATTATCAGGCATGAATCAAAATCTTGGTTGGGTAATATTTTACATTTGCTGTGTAATTTTCTCAATTTTTGGCTGTTTCAAATAAGATAATACATCACACAATACCGTTGTCAGAGAATTACTGCCCATTCAAAACCTATAATAGTTTTGAGGTCAGTTACTTGTACATAGGTGGGTTTTTTGTTAACTAATGTTAAGAACAGCACACAAGAAGTAGAAAAGGAATAATCTGCCAAAACCCCAATCCAGCCTTATCCACACACATGTTGTCAGACTGAGCTGTGGAGGAGCAAAGAGCTATAGTAACAGAGCAATCAGAGCTTCACCAGGTCAAAAAGTTTAAGTGCAGTTCTGTTTGAGATGTAAACCAGAATACTGCTGAAAGGAGCATCAGTGCCAAGTCCATTACCCTGGAGTAACAAATCTGTTCACACTTCACTCAGTTAAGAGTTGTCTTTTGATTGTGGCTGTTAAACCTCTTTGTGTGGTTAGTTTGGGCCTCCAGTTGGATTCTCAAACAATGAAAGACATTGGAGTGGGTAATGGGGAGCGTAATGACATGGTGAGCCTTGTGAGTTCAAAATCAATACTCATACAAAGATGATCAGCAGCTATTAGTGTAACCCTAATCAGCGTTTCACAAGTGTTGACAGCCAGAGCTGCCATCTGCACATTTGCAATTAGACATTTCCAATAGTTTCATTTGATTTGATGTTCAAAATAATTACAGTAACAATGCTTATACGACAAACTCTGCAAACAGAATACCAACACTGCACTGAATACCAACAAGGAAAATGATTATCAGTGATTTTTCCGTAGACTTACTTTGTCAACTTTGTTTGCCTTCCACCCAACTAAGCTGCTGTAACCAAATCGGACAAGGGTTGCTGAGTGATGCATAGTTAGCTGTGTTCTGGCACCAGCTCTGGGAAGGTTTCAGAGTAATGACCTGGGCCGATTTAGGCTGTGAATAGCTTCAGCTAGCAGAACTGTGGGTCCTTGTTGGCACCTTGTTGGCCAATTCTGGCATGTTCATTAGATATTTATCAAGTCTTGGATTAGTCTGGGAACCCGGTGTGCCTCTGTTAGGCTGGTTAATTGCTTGGAAGGCTTTCACATCAGGGACCCAGGCAAGGATCTGAATATACTTGGACACAACTGGTTTGATTAGTATCAACACTGTATACCATCCCTGGGCAGGGTATGTCAAGCTCACTTCAGAATGTGGTCTTGTAGTATGAGTAGAGTTGCAAATGCATTTCTCAAAACTGCCAGTCTCCTTTGAAATCTAAATATGCATGCAGCGCCCACCAATCTCATCTTCCGAAATGCACGTCCAAGGTTGATGAAGTAAGAAGTGAGGCAAGAATATCATTCTTGACATTTCCAAAATACAAACTATAGTAGGCATAATGAGAAGGTTGACTGCATTGTATGGGCTTGGGATCTTGTGATTGCTGCTCTTTCTACAGCTGCATGCAAGTCTTTCTGCAGGTCTTTTGCAGTCAAACGGGGGTTTTGATTTGCCTTTGTAGCAACTGATGAGCAGCTCTCTCAGAAAGTTTTCTTGGTCATCCAGACCTCAGCTTGACCACAGTTCATGTTACCTGCCATTTATTTATTCCCAACTGAGGAAACAGCTACCTGAAAACACTTTACTATCTTCTTATAACCTTCTCCTGCTTTGTGGCCATCAGTCATTTTAGTTTTCAGAGTGCTAGGCAGCTGTTTAGAGGAGCATGGCTGCTGATTGTTGGACAAGGTTTCAGGAGGTAGAGTATTTATAAAGCTTTGAAATTTGCTTCGCCTGGGCTTTCCTAATGATGACTATGAACAAGCCAGAGCCTTAACAAGCTAATTATGGTCTGAGACCCTGGTAAAAGTTGTCTGAGAGCTCAAATGTCCTGGGGTGCCCAAATTTTTGTGGGCGCTCCTTTCATTTTTTTCCACTCTAAAATTGTACAAAACAAAAATGATACACTAATCTTGCTTAAAATGTTGAAAAGCATGTTCGATCTTTAACTTCCTGCCTTTTGGAGATTGGTTTATCCTCTTCTCGCTTATCAGTCCCTCCAGGATGTCGCAATTGCCGCAACTTTCCAATCACTGCAACTTTACCTTAAATTTGATGTAAAATTATTTGCTCTCTCGTGTGTGTTTTATCATGTGCTTATCCCTTTAATCATCTTGTGACCCCTCACATTTGTCTGGGGACCCCCTGAGGGACACCAGCCCCCACTGAAGAAACCACTGTCATAATATAAAGTCATATGTATCGGTTGATCTTTTAAATCTATAACTTAACATGGAGTGGAAAGAAGGGATCCACTTCATCAGTATTGCAGACTAATGTGGATTAATAGTTTGGGACTACAGAAAAGTTGTAAACTGTGTCACAGATTTACTGTATTTCAAATGACTGTTTCCCTCCTTCTTCACTTGCCCAGATTTGAATAGCGTTTGGCGGCAGATTTTGTGTATTGCGGTCTATTATTATGTAACAACTTGGGGCTGGTCCCCGGACAGCCTCTTTGCATGCAGGGCGGGACCCTGCGCTGTCTCCCTCCAAACAGCATTTCGCGCTGTGGCTCAGGTAATATTAGCGCCACTGATGTTGTCCCCTCCTCCCTCACCGGCCTCCCATCTGTCTGTTTCAACTGCACTGCTAATTACAGCCAGCCGCGGAGACAAAGCCCGGGTGATTAGGTTAAAGGTATTAATAGTGGGTTTCTATGTGCGGGGTTTTAGTACGTGACGCTGGTGTCACTGTGGGAGAAGGAGCAGGAGCAGGGGGGAAGCCAAACTTCTCGGCTGAAAGTCAAAGATCGTCTATAAAGACGATGAGTCTTTATAGACGATCTCGTATCTCTTCTTTGAGTCAAAGAAAATCGGTGTACAACGAAGAAACTCGGGCGCCGGGAGCACCACGGCCGTAGTATGGCAGTTTCATGGTATTTAGAATATATATACTGTTTTCAGCCGTGTAAAAGTTGATCAGCAGTAAGTATCGACAGTTACTGAAATGACTTAACTAATGTGAATGGCTTGTTAAATATTCCTCAGCTGTCTTCGGCTGTGACCAGGGGCCTCAGGGTGGGAGGAAAGGTGGGGCTGGTTAAAGCCTGGAATGAAAAGCTTGGATTTGGTTGATTTTTTTTTCTGAGTAATTACTGCCATAACTAAATTTGAATTGCCTAAATGAATCAATTGAAAGACTGAAATCTTCACAAGAAATTGTGGAAGCCCTCTAAAAGCCCCTACAAAATGGTTTACCCACCTCTACACAAGGACTCGCCTTTAAATCCACCTGGAGCCGAGTTTCACCCCTGTTCCACCAAAATTAACATGTGCATGCAGGATATTTAAACATGGGTAAACCTGCTAAAAATAGGCAATAGACTCATTTTTCCATTACCAGTAAACCAGAGCTGTGTATACAGCTAATTAGTCTCTTTTAAACTCAGTGCAGACTAATTTGGATTGATTTTTGAGTGCTGCTTGGGCAGAGACGGGCAGTATTTTGTGGTGCCTCGTCATTGCATCTTGCCGGTAAAGAAGCTAAAATTCATGCGTTCATCCGCGTATAGTGTTCCCATCAATGTAAATCAGAGCCAGAGGCAATAAATACCTGAGACTACTGCAGAGTCATTTTAATGCCAAATAAAACCTTTCCCACTGTATTAAAAACCCAGATGTTAGCAAGTGTTTGTGGGTTTTATCTGAGTGCTTGACCCAGGAAATTGGGAACAGAAAAAAACAGAAAAGAAAGAAAGCAAGCAAACTGACCAGGTAAAAACAAGAAATTGTAAAAAAAAAAAAAAAAAAGTGCATGAAAAGGACATGGATCAAGAGAGGATGGGTGGGAGGCCCACAGAGACTGTTAATGCAGGGGTCCCAGAATTTGGTGCTACACCCCTGGCTGTTCCCAGATACTGTAGTGGAGGGTATATGTGGGTAGGTATACTCACCTCTTTTTCCGGTTTTACAGTATACCCACCTATCAGCCAAAACACTATTGAAATATATTGGAGTGTATACCCACTTCCTCCCTTGTAACCAACCCATCTACAGTAAACCCACCTCATCAACATCCTCTGCACCAGTGGTTTCCAACTGCTCCAGCCACGGGGTCTAGATTTCTCCTTAGTGCAAGGTCAACAGACCTGCATTTGGCCATGTCGTCGGAACTAGTTTACCGTCTCGGTCAAGTGGTTATCCATCCACTTTACATCAGAAAGCAGCTCTTTAGAATACAATTTCTGTGCTGTAAATTAACTGTACTAATGAAATAAAGTGTGTTTTTCACAAACTTGACACGTTTACAAATCACTTGCGTCCATTCATATTCGATCCACCACCCACTTTTGGACCGGGACACACCAGTTGGGAACCACTGCTCTACACCACTGGCTTTGCCTTTCTGTATCTCCCCAGAAAGCAAAATGCTGCACGTTGATTTTACATCTATTGATTTTCAAATTGTACTGGAAAGGTGTTGAGTAAAGTTCTTTTAAAGACAAAATTGCATCAAGCTCCATTTCTTCCTGATAGACTTCTACAAAGCTTAAATTGTTCTCTCGAGTAAATCTTAGCTTTTAGTATTAGGGTCTTCTTTGTTTATGCGAGTTGTTAGAAATAAACCACCTACAAGTGTGTATGACAACTTTCCCCGCCACTGCTTGAGAAAATAGCTGCGGAGTGAGACCTCTCTTTGTTTTACCCTCCCTCAGGCTTGGACAGAGCGCGCCGGTTGCCCCGCCAACACAACTCTGGGAGGCGTGGCCAACATCCACGCCCATTGGTAGAAGCTGAGGCGCGCACCCGAGCACGACAACGCTGACTGGCTGGAGGTTGAGTGACGCACCCGTTCACCCGGGCACTGATTGGCTGGAGTCAGCCAGATGCCTGAGAGCGCCAGAAAACAAGCTTGAGCGGGTGATGCTGAAGTCCTCTCGGGACAGTGTAGAGTTTTGCGCTACTCGGACAGGAGTCTCAGAGGACTGGAGGGACGTGCAGAGGAGGACTGCCCGCTTATTTTGAAGAGGGAAATTAGCTGCTATGTTAGTCTGAAGAAACTGCGCACTGACAAGCCTCTAAAGCCGGACACAGAGCCACATTGGAATAGCTCATTCATTCAGGAGTGGAGGAAGGTAAGAAATGACGTTTTCCCTCCAGCGGTTTCCTTCTATAGTTATGGTATGCCCGTCAGCTGAGCTAGTAATGTTAGCTAAGTAGCTAATTAAAGCTAAATTAGCCTTCGTGACTATAAATAAGTCAGTTATATAGTCACTCCCTTTGAAAGGCTTTGCCACACCTAAATGTAGGGACTAATTTGAGTGAATTGGCCCTTTATTAAGTGGAGACTGTCATGGCTACATCTAATGCTACATTGAGTTAACGTAATTAATGAACGTCATGTAATAAAACATCCAGCTCCAAACTTGCTACATTAGCTGCAGTTTAGTTGGTCATATTAGCAATAACCAAACTTAATTGATGGGGCTGATAGCTAGGTTATAGCCGTTAGCTTGCTAAGAGCTAGTTAGCTGATGTTATTTGCGCCAAATTCAGCTGACCACTCGTCTTAAGTTTTCTGTACATGCTGATTTTCCCTTAACCTAAACATTCCCCCCACTTAGATACCAGTCAGATAATCTGTTTCTGACTTTAACTTTTAGGACTGCAGTTTTCCCAGATGGAAGTTGAATGTCTAGCACTGAAAGACCTCACAAGTCCCAGGAAAAGTCTCAGGGTGGAGCAGGAGGAGGAGGATGGGGGCCAAAGTGAACACAAGGTAAGGCTAAGGTGGCCTTGATCTCTTGGGTGGGGTCTCAGCAGAGTGGCAGGTTTGATTATGATGCAGCTGAGGGTGAGCTGCAGAATCAGGCTGATCAGAGACAGATGTCTGGAGTAATGCGGTGGCATCTTAGCAGTCAGATAAGGTTATTAGAGCTGTGGCCTGGGTGGCTCTTGGATTTAAAACGGCTAGGCTAAGTTGGAAAGTAGTGGAATAGAGAAAAAAACGCATCTTGAAGTGTCTACAAGTCAGTGATTAGCTTGAAAGTACTTGATTTCTTATTCAAAGAAGCAGCACTCAGATTCATTAGCCAAGTGTCAACATTTGACCGAGATACTATTCCAAAATAAAACTCCTGGATGGAGATTTGAGTTTATACAGCAGCAGGTGGGCATTCACCCAGTATAAGCAAATGTTTGAAACTCTAAACACAATTGTCTCCATCTCAGGAAAACATCTGCACAGATTGGAGAAGATCCACACCAGCCAAATCTGCCGATTCCACCTTTCCCGTTTTGCTAATGACCAGAAAAGGTGCCACCCCTGACCTGGCCCACATCACCCCCATCAAACACACAGCCCTGGCCGAACCCTGGACGCCCACGGCCAATCTGAAGATGCTCATCAGTGCCGCGAGCCCAGACATCCGGGACAGAGAGATGAAGAAGGTGCTGTTTAGACCCATAGAGAATGAGAAGGACAAGCCAGCGAGTCCAGATACTGTGGTGGAGGATACAGAGGTGGAGGACTCATGTCAGGTACATGAAATGGGAGCTAAACTAAACTAAAACTATGTCATTAAAAAATACAGTTTCTACAACAGCCAAAAAGGCATTTAATAAGTTTTGTTCTTGTCGAAAATTATTCTTTGTCAGCTGGGGGAAAATCCGCCAGATTGCAGTTCTTGTTTGATAGTTTAAAGAAATGCCCTCAGAGGAACCCAAAATTTCAAGTCTTAAATGTTCATGGAGTAAACACATTTGCCTCACCTTTATTCACATAAGCAGCTGAGCTCTCAAGATTGTGAGCTTTCAAAAGCACAAATACAAACACTCAGTTTTGCCTAATAGATAAAGTCATATTGTATATAAAGTGGCAGCCGGGAGCCTGAAGTCGCTGAGCTTTTGTGATACGATTATTTCTTAAATCCGACATGAAGGTTTTTCCAGCCTTATCAGGATTGCAGGATTTAATTCTTTTCCAAAACATGTGCCCTTGTAGACATTAGTGTAAAAGCAAATAATGGCTCTGAATTGAGATGTGTGTTAATGTGTATGCTACATGATGTCAGATTCTCTTAATTAGTGGTAAAGCACAAGACAGAGGAGTGTTAATCATCTGTCTCTGTATGCGTTTGTCTGTCTGTCCAGTTTGAAGCTGTGGAGGAAGAGGATGACACGGACAAAAAGCCAAGCAGGAAGCAGAAGAGCCTGGGTCTGCTGTGCCAGAAGTTCCTGGCCCTCTACCCTGACTACCCACCGCCACACAGCCCCATCTGGATCTCTCTGGATGAGGTGGCGACCAATCTTGGTGAGAAAGAGAGTTTGGACTTGTCCCAGCCACTGCCTGTGCTGTTGTTGTAAACACCTCGTGGGAGGGAGATGATAATGGCAGCAGCTAATGTCTGTTTAATGAGCATTATAAAGTTTTTATGTTATTGCCTTTGTATTTAGGCACAGTTGCTATGGATACTTGTTTTTCATATGAAGAGTATTTTGCACTGCATTTAATGGAGGGTTGCTGAGCTGCAAGGCTCTCTAGTTTTATAACTTTCATTCGTTTTAATCACAACACTGACCATTTGGTGTGTATTTACTCAGATGTGAGCATATATTATCCAAGAACGAGTGGGTCATTTCTGTGCTCTTGTACTCAATTTTTCAGGAGTGGAGCGGAGGCGGATCTACGACATCGTCAACGTGCTGGAGTCTCTAATGATCGTGGGTCGGATTGCCAAGAACAGCTACACCTGGTATGGTCGTCTGCGGCTGGAAGCCACGCTGGAGGAGCTGCAGAGGAGGGGTCGGCAGCAGGGCTACCACCTGCAGGTGGATCTGGCCACTGAGGAGAGGGAGGCTGGACCGGGGCGCGAGGACGACGGAGCGGAAGGGGACGCTGGCAACGGTAATGAACTGAGAGACTAAATGTAGAGTGGAAAACAAGAAAGAAACCATCTTCTACCTTTTCCACCAGCTTGAATTTCCTCATCCCCTTCTCCTAGAACCCTTTGCATACTTTAATGGTGGTGATAAAATGAGCTGCAGTTTATTGTTGCACTTACAGTATGAACCATCTGTTTAATGCCGCACATCTAAAAATGTAAGGAGCACCTTCCACCAAATCATCTCGACAGCTAAACGATCAGTCCCTTCAAACCCACAGGAATGAATACAAGCCTGGTTTCCATAGTGACTCCTCATACATGTGCACACACATGCACACAGCTTCTCATTAAGAGGGTGTGTGTGTTGAGTCTGGATAATAATAGTGCTCGTGGCAAAGAGGTAGTTAACAAAGGTACATGATGCCCATTGAGTGGTTCATGTCTGCTGGATTTGTTGTGGCTGGTTGGATGTGATGACCTCAGTAATAATAATACATAATAGCTGTCATCGCAGCTGAGCAGCACAACAACAAACACCTACAGCAGAAATGGTGTTATTAAGGCATCCGCTGCACATTTAATCTCATGCGTTATGATCAGGTCATTATTCCTTGCTGCTGCAACGACCCTGCTGATTAATAAGGTCGTCTTATCTTTTATTATGTAGAGTCCTGGGCGACTGGCAACAGGAAAGACAAATCTCTGCGCATCATGAGCCAGAAGTTTGTCATGCTGTTCCTGGTGTCCAAAACGCAGACGGTGACTCTGGACGCAGCGGCAAAGATCCTCATCGAGGAGAGTCAGGACTCGTCAAGTCACAGCAAATACAAAAGTAAGAAGGCGTTAAACAATATGTCCTGCAGTACAAGTTGCTGTTTCTTTTGTGTAATCAAAACTAAACCTCAGCCCTGTATCTTCAGCTAAGGTGCGGCGACTGTACGACATCGCGAATGTGCTGACCAGCCTGGGCCTCATAAAGAAGGTCCATGTGCGTGAGGAGAGAGGCAGGAAGCCGGCCTTCAAGTGGCTTGGCCCCGTTGAATTTAAAAACTCTGGAAGTGCTGGTAAGAATTAAAGACAAGCTTTTGACAGTGATTAAAGGAATAGTTCCAATTTTTTTTAGTACACCGACTATGGATAAGTACCTCATACAAATAAAAAAATCAGACCTATCCCTTTAAGATGCATCAGTGTCATCTGTAAGGTGTTAGATTCATTGATAACTGCTTTTTTGTTACCGCTGTCATGCTAACTCAGCCATTATCCATCTCCCCATCCTCAGCTGTAGAACATACTGTGAATCTGGCGGCTGCCGCTCTGCCTGAGGCCACACAGCCAGGCCAGGACCTCAGAAGAGCCAAGATGGCACGGCATGCCTCTTTCAACATCACACCAACCTCTGCGGCTGTACAGCGGCTGGTCAACTCTGCACCCTGCAGTCCACGACGAGACATTACGGGTAAGACATTTTTTGTCCATGCCATTGTTTAGTCAGTCAAAATGGAATAATTAATGACATCAGAAGATTTTCTTATTCTTGTGGGATGAATGGTTTTCTCCTCACACTGCAGGTCTGCCAAACCAGCCCGTGGATTACTCCAGAAAGACAAGCAACAATGCAGTGTGTCGACTGCAGTTTGGAGACAGCACTGAGTGAGTTAATACTAACACACACTCCGATACTCTGTATCACCCCTGCATTCTCTTGGTCTAGATTCATCTACAGTCATCTACCACCGATTTACTGCCAAACTATTTACCGCACATAGTTGCTCTTTTTGCTAACCTTTGCCAGTCTATCAGTATTACTGGAGAGAATCCACATCAGCTGCCTTTAACAAGGGCAAATGGTCCTATAGCTGTTGGAAGATGAAGTCATTATATTATAAACGGTTCAGACTGAAGCTACACTATTACATCTAAATGAATAAAGTGAGTTTGTACTGTCACATTAGGCATTAGAAGCTATTTACAGTGACCTAGTTATAAGATGCAAAGGCTCCCCATTCACTGAAGGGGTTTTTAATCTCACTCTTCCATACATAATATTTCACAATCACTGCCAGTGTTTGCATTGGCTGGTGTGTTTGTAGCTTTAGGTTACATGCAAGCTATGGATATGAATAATTTTTGTCTCCTGTGCGTGTATGCATTGGCTCCATAGAAACGGTACACAGTAGTTCATGTTATTTCTATGGTTGGCTTGCTTGTGGCCAAACCACAGCTGCCCCAAGACTGTGGCTGTTAAGTGTTTTCAGAGGGAGGGAGATAATAGGGCTCAGAAGTGTGTGTTGAAAAGGAATATTTTAGACATGAAGCTGGGTAAGAATGCACCAGAGGCAGTGGTAGCCCACAGGATAAGAGCTGGAGGTTCATAGCTGGGAGGTGGCCAGTTAGGAGGGGACTAGAGCCTGCAGGCCCAGTCAGGCTCAAGCCAGGCTCAAGCTAAGAATTGAAGCTTTAATTCTGATGAATAATCATGTTTTAATTCTTTGTTTCCCCCATAGTAACCGTCCCACCAACAGCAGCAGCCCATTAGCTCCGTCCTCCGCTCATCCCACCCTGCTGGCACCTTCCCTCCACCCAGAGCACCTCTTTGCACCTTCCTCCTCTCCCCACTGCTTGGCCTACCTGCCCAGTCTGTCCCAGCCCTCGGTGGTCATGCTGTACAGGGCGCCAGACAAGCCCGAGCAGATGCCTGAGGGTCAGAGATCGCCTCGGTTGGAGTCTGAGGAGGGGAGGAAAAGAAGGAGGGAAGAAAGGGAAGAGGAGGGGGCGGTGGTGAAGAAGAAGGGAACATTTGGGTTAGAGGAATGTGAAAAGGTGAGGTGCTGTTTGATGCGTTTACTTGTATGTTGAAATTTTTACTTTACTGAGACCAGTTTAATTATTTTGGTTGACTGCAGTTATATAAAGTCTTCTTTTCTGTGTTTTGCACCCACAGTCACAAGATCCTGTTAGTATTTCTGGAGAGCAGACCGTTAAATTGAAAATATGAAATACTACACTCACTGACTAGGATAACTCCTGCCTGGTGTAATTAAAGACTATATATATTAGTAATGTATGGGATATTTGATAATTGGAAACCCTAGTCGTTAACAAGGCCACACGATTCCAGTAATTGGAAAAGTCCTATTTTTTATGATTAGATTATCTTTTAGAAGGTAGATTAAGAGAAGAGACTTAAAGCACTGCACCTTTGCTTCAAGAAAATGACTGCAGAAGTTAAAAATGTTATTAGAAGGTGAGGGCGTTGATCAGTGTCGTGATTTTAGTTGCTGAGCTTTAAGTTGTTACACGTTATAATATAAACTGTTCATTCAAGGTGGACTGTAGACAAGGGATAGTGCCATGCATCGGGGTTACATGGATACAGTAAAAATAGGGTGGTTCCTCTATTATAAATGTCCATCAGCTGGTCCAGGTTAATTTATTTCACGTTTATTTTCCCTCCAGATGAGAGCTGAACCTCAAAGGGAAGCAGCAGAGTGTTCACAAACGCATAACAGCGGGATTTCCCCAAATCATCAGGTGCCCGATGAGAGTCAAGGTGCCAGCAGCAGCGAGTCCACCCAACCATCACACTACCTCTACGTACCCAACAACGCAGGTACATACACAACTTTGTCAAAACTCTCTACACTTGATCAAGAATAATCTGTTGCTATAACCATATGCAGTATGTAGAAACATTACATTGATGTTAAGAAAACTGATAATGGTGCAAGTTTCTGGGTTTATTAAATCAACACCTCTGATGTATAGTAATGATGTAGTGATACCTGGTTCTTCCCATTCCCATATTTAGCTTATCAAGATTGTAAGTTTAAAAAAAACAAACACGTATCTAAACTAACTGATTTCTGTCTTAAGAAGTATTTAAAACATTAGTAAAACAAAACAGTTGTTTGAGCACAGATTGACTCTTCAGAACAGGGGTGAGTTAATTTGGAGCTTTAGGAAGCTTCAAGAAGCAAATAAGTGTTGGAAGTCTTGTGGGAGAATCACATTATTAAAACTGACGAAGGGGAGGCTGTTTGTGCCAGTAGGTTCCTACAGGCAGGAAAATCCCAGAGGGACCGAAGTTTACTTAGAGAGTGTAAACAATATTAGTATGAGTAACCTTTGGGGAAATTACTTTAAAAAAAAAAAAAAAAAAACAGTACCCAATTCATAATTTTTACCCCTTAAAACCTTTGTAAGCACAAGATAAGAGTAAAATAGATATAATTTCGTTAACTAAAAACCGTCCCTTTTTTTATTTGTTGGATTTAGGGCTGTGCGATATGTCTAATAATAATATTTTTAGGGGATATCACGATACGCAATATGTATAGATATTTTGAAATCAACACTAAACAACTGTGGACTACTAAAATACTCAACTACTAAATAAACTAGTTACAATAAAGTTAAATAAAGTACTGTTAAAACAAATTAAATGAATTACTGTTAAAATAAAGTTAAATAAAGTATGGTTACAATACAGTTAAATGTGTGTTTTCCTGATCTACAGGTCTGAATAGCTTCAACTTCCTCCTCTCTGCCGGCCAGCCACCAGCCAGTCTAGCACTTCCTCCCAGCAGTGTTCCCACCTTGGCGCTGCCCTACGTCCTGGTGCCCTCTGCAGCCCTCTCCCACTACCCCCTGGTGGCCAGCGGTTTACAGCAGCAAGGCTCCGACGCCCATAACAAACTGAGCTTCAGCCTGCCTGCTGTGATGTCACCTGCTCACTTCATGGTGGGGGCGGCACCATACGGCCTGGCAGCTGCCACATCAGAGATGAGCAGGTCCCCAGTTCCATCGCCGTCCACTCCAGAACAGAACGGGCTGTACGGGTCAGCGACGGGCACTCCACATTCTCCCTCAGGACCACGTCACACTGTCACCATCAACACACAAGAACCACTGGTAAGGACTATTGTAGCTCTCCTCACACGTACACACATCGCTGCTCTGAAAACGCATTAACTCCGACATCATTTGCCGTCATAATGATACATGACCTTTCTGGTACCAGGCACTTGCAAAATGCCATGACGCAGCTTGACATGAGTGCTGCATCTGTTTTGCGAAGGTTTCCCCTCATTTACTCGTTTAGACAGTTACTCATTTAGCAGTTCAAGATGATTAATCTCCAAGTTGTTGAACAGGGATTAATGTTCTTGCCTGCAATGCTCTTCTCAAACAGTCGCTTTAGATGACCTGCTGAGGCGCTGGATGGATGGCTAATTAATGCAGCATTAGAAACAATGTGATGGGTCAATGGCCGTGTTGTAATGAGGCATAAATCAGGGATGTCCTCTCGTTCCCCCCACGTTCACTTTGAATACAGGCAGAGTGGTGCTTTCATGAAACATCCAGGTGTTAGTTACCAGAATATTTTCTCTTTTAAACCCTGCAGAGACTTTGTATTTTCTTGAGTTCATCAGAATTACCATTTCTTATCTTTTCCATTAATTTACAGTATTTTTATCGTAGTCTGGTGATAGAGTTGTGAGCAGGGGCCGAGTTGTCATTTGACGAGAGACGCTCCAAGTTTTGAGATTTGGTAGTCAGCAGTTGGACCTTTAACAAGTCATCTGTAAAGAGCTATGACATTGACAGTTATGTCACACCTGAGAGTCTTTGAACGCATCTCCAAAGAAACCCCACAGTACGTGACATTAATGTAACTACCTGGAGCAGGTTGTGTTGTAAATGTTCTCCCATCTGACATCACCCTCTGCCTTCACAGACCCCACATACTCCAAAGGAAACCACACCATCTGCCTCAAAGGCTTTCTTCCAGACCCCAGGCACGCTGGGAAGTGTAGTCAGCGCTGCGCCCGCTGCCCGAAAAAGAGGCTCTGCACAGAGGAGACTGGACGTCGGCCACCCACCAACCAGTTAGACGTGTGAGGGGACGGAATAGGCGTCAACATGCTGTTTTAACACTCAGGTGTTGATCCTTGAAGTGAAAAATGTGGTTTCAAACTATTGGTGCTTTGTTTTATTAATTATTAAATTAAGGGTTTCCTGAAAAACCTAAGAACACAAATTTTAGTTTGTTGAAACTTAAATTAACTTCCCCAAAACACAAGGCAGCAATGTAAAGATTGCTAATGACTGTACGTTTTTAACAAATTGTGGTTTCCATTGTTTGTTCGTGACATTAACAGTTGAAATGTGCCTCCTGGTTTAATTATAGGACACCAGTTTTCAGAGTGAATGAATGAAGCTGTATTGCCAATGTTACAGTGCCCTCCTGTGGTGGGAGTTGGCCGCTGCTGTATTTTTTTTATTTCAGCCTTAATTTTCCCTCCCAGTGTGACCATGCTGCCTAATTCCCCATCACTTGTGTATTAAAGCCCAATTGCTATTTATATTTTAGCTAATATATGTTGATTACAGGGACTGTAATTGAACATTACCATTGTGAGCACTAAGTACGTGACAGAATGTCTGTCTAATTTTCAACTGATTGTCATTTGTTGGCCCCTTCAGGTTTTGTTTCATCACCAAGGTGTAATAGGAAATCTATTAGCTGCTGATCACCAGTTTACATGGACAGTAGTGGACAATCCTCTCTTGGCTCATTTCAGAAATTACTGTGAGGAGAAAATCACTAACGCCTTCAATGTTTACAGCCAGCCAAGAATCTCAAGGAACAGTTCTTGGACTTCTTGTTGCAGGGCAGGTGCATTTATTTACTCATCAGGAAGACTAATGTTACTGGTGCTGTGTTTGTTTTCACTCAGTAGCTGCAACCATAGTGCTTAATGGTTAAACACCAACCCTGTAGCTTTGTTCCTGACTGACTGAAGGACAATGTGATTTTCAGGTACTTGAATACTTGTGACTTTACTAGAAATTGATTTTGAAGAGATATCAGAGTACTGTAAAGATATTTTCTATCCTTAATTTAACCAGGGAGTCTCCCAGTATGACCACAACCTGCTTTTGGCTGGTGCAGTTGGGGGTTAAGTGCCTTACTTAAAAGGCACGTTGCCAAGAGAAGAGAGTTGTTGCCTTAGTGCAGATTTTCTCAGGTTGTCTAGAGACTTGTATCAACAGTCCTCTAGTCACGAGCCCACTAACTTGCCTCCAGACAACATGCTTTGCATGGGAATCATTTAGGAGAGCTTAGCTATGTCACACCAAAGGGTGCACAACTCATCCACTCTGACTGAGCAGTGGATGTGTCTTCGTTATTGTACAGTTTTATGTCAGTAATTATTTTTGTACATTGTATTCATAGTGTCATTCATACCTTCACATGCAGAATGTTAAATGCTGCTTGACTGTGTTTGAAATATTGATTATTGCACTGCTAGTTTTAGTAGTCGTGTCCTCTGATCTAATTTTCACAAAACCTGGAGCTGTTCCTTCACTGTAGCTCTGCTGTCTCTGTAGTTATGAGCCAAACTGGTTCTCGTCTGTATGACTTTCACAAACTTTAATTAAAAATGTATGCCGCTGACCAGCTTTGTTCTGTGTGTGTTTTAAACTGGGGAATTTGTTGCTGTATTTTCAGATATTTTTTCATCAAATGTTAACGAACCTTGATTTTGGACGATAAGATAGCCTCCCTGTTCTGAATTAATTGTGCTCTGTAGTTTTACTCTACAATGGAAGAAAAACCCTAAAATAGCAATCCAAATGTTGACAGAATTACAGATGGCTTCAGTTTGCCAATTTACAAATTTACAGATGCCACCAATAATTCAGAGTCCAATTCAGAATGGCCCAGCAGATGGAAGCAAGCCATGCTAATATGGTCGGTTGACACTCTTCATCTGTAACACAATTCCTGTTTGCCGCAAACTCAGTGCAGTATTGTACACATTAAACATTAATGGGACTGACAATCTGCATTATTACAAAAATGATTCACCGCTCAAATGCCAGAGTAAAAAAAAAAAAAAAAAGCACAGAGGTGGTTAAAATTCAAATTATGCATGCAGAGAACGCATCGGTATGCTGAGGTTAAATTCTTATTCATAATTAATGAAATTCCGTTGGGGAGAAGCACAATCAATACATCAAGTGTGATCTCGGGGTCAGATCAGGCTGATTGAGTCACACTTAAAAACACACACACCATCTGTGTGAGGACATAAACATCTAATCTAAGCTTTTATATCAGCACTAAAACGGAGCTGAGGGAGCTGCCAATAGATGTGTTTGGCCCCTGCCAGGCACTTATGACACTAAACCTCAGCAGATGGGACAATTGACTTTATATAGACCGATAGTTTAGCCAAGTATCTGCTGTGGCCAAAAACCACTTCAATGGAAACACGCTGTTCCTGAGGCAAACCAGAACAATCCACTTTCAAATACACCACTACCACTGCAATTCCCACCACCGTCATACTGGACTGTTTTTTTTTACCACTGCACTACTATATAGTGTGAACCTACTATGCTTGTTCTTCTTCTACTACTACTACTACTACTACTACTACTACTACTACTACTACTGCAAGTTCTACCACTACACCAAAACTACTGCAAGTCCTACTACATTACTATTAGTAGTGTTATAGTTCCTCTACCCCACCACTAACCATTACAAGTTCTACAAATACACCACCAACCATTGCAAGTTCTGCTACTACTACCCTACTCACTATTACAAGTTTGGTTACTACTATATACTATTGCTAGTTCTAGTACTACCACGCCACTAACTAGTTCTACAACTACACCACCAATCATTGCAAGTTCTGCTACTACTACCCTACTCACTATTACAAGTTTGGTTACTACTATATACTATTGCTAGTTCTAGTACTACCACGCCACTAACTAGTTCTACAACTACACCACCAATCATTGCAAGTTCTGCTACTACTACCCTACTCACTATTACAAGTTTGGCAACTACTATATACTATTGCTAGTTCTAGTACTACCATGCCACTGACTAGTCCCACTACTACACCACCAACTATTGCAAGTTCTTCTACTAATGCTATACCACTAACTATTACAAGTTCTACAGCTACAAAACGAACAACTGCAAGTTCTACTACTACACCACTATTATAAGTATTACTACTACAAGTTCTACAACTACACCACTAACCATTCCAAGTTCTACCACTACTACTACAACAACACTACTGACTATTACAAGTTCAAGTACTACTATACACTATAACTACTTCTGCTTCCTCCATGCCACTTTTACAAGTTCTACAACTACACTATTATACATTCTACTACTACACCACTCTTGCAAGTTTTACAACTACACCAACCATTTCAAGTTCAACTACTACACTACTCACCATTGCAAGTTCAGCTACTACTTTACACAATTGCTAGTTCTACTACTGCCACACCACTAACATGTTCTACTACTACACCTCTAACTATTGCAAGTTTTACCACTACACCACCATCTTAAGTTCTACTACTACACTATTATTGCAAGTTTAACAATTATACCACTAATTATTGCCAGTTCTACAACTACACCAACAATCACTGCAAGTTCTACTACTACTAGTACACTACTCGCTATTGCTACACACTATTGCTCACTATTACAACTATACACTGTTGCTAGTTCTGGTACTGCTACACCACTAACTATTGCAAGTTCTACTACTACACCACTGTTGCAAGTTCTTCTACTACTAGCCTACTGCTACACCACTAACTATTGCTAGTTCTACTACACCACTTCTATTGCAAGTTCTACTACTACACCACTTCTATTGCAAGTTCTACTACTACACCACTGTTGCAAGTTCATCTACTACTAGCCTACTGCTACACCACTAACTATTGCAAGTTCTACTACACCACTATTGCAAGTTCTTCTACTACTACTACTACTACTACACTACTCACTATTGCAAGTTCAACAACTACTATACATTGTTGCTAGTTCTAGCATTCCCACACCACTAACTAACAAACAAGATCTACTACTACCTCACTAACTTGCTAGTTCTACTACTCCTACTCCACTATTGCTATTTCTAGTTCTACTACTTCTACACCACTGCCATTACTACTTCTGCAGTTACCACTGTGAACACGTCCATGCTACCTCTAGCTAGAGTTCTTAGTACGCCTGCTATTTAATCTAACTTACCACCACTTATGGCTGTTACCACTAATACAATGACTGATAGAACTACTAATTCAGTGCTGACACTACCCAGTAACTGACTAAGCGATTTGGTCCTTAGGTCAAAGATGGCTAACATTATGGTAGATATTTAAGATAAAACTGAAATACATTGGGCGAACAGGTGAAAGCTTTAGCTTACAATCACGGCTGTAACATTACTTAATGGCTATGCAACATATTCTTAAGACGAAGTGATTTAAGGAACAGTTTGACAATTTGGAAAATGCATTTATTTGCTTTGTTGCTGAGAGTTAGATTCATTTACATGTTACCAAGACATTTACTGTAGATATTACATCAACAATACAGTGTCTGTTGGGTGTGCCACTAATACAGTGAGCAAAAATGGTCCTGTGGGCCTGGAAGTGTTGAATCCCCCTCCAAATCAGTGTGACATATTCATTCATTTTACTGGCCCGGCTTGCTTCTGAAACACTATACATGTGGTTATAAATCTCCAAATGGTGTCAGCGAATGTTTCCTGAGGGTCCAGAGTGATTTAGAGGATGTTTTATTTTGCCAGAAGGCATGAGAGCACGTCAGAATGTCTCTTGTTACGACTTACATCAAAGAACTACAAAATACTTGTCTAGTTTGAGTGAAAAGTCTCTGAGACAGTGAATCAGAGTTAGAAACTCATGCTTAAAGTCTCTCTCTTTTCTGTACAAAGGGGCTATAGGTCTATTTAGAGGGGGGAAACAAACATATGAAGTTCTTACACAAAGTGCAGACGCTCACATCTGAAAAACATGTAATTCTGTGTACCCACCATCCACTACATGTACCATAGTCCCTTCAATTATTATTTTATAAGAGCAACCACCTTTGTTTTCCCTCTAAATGCTCAACACTTTGCTTTCATTCATTTAACCGTGGCTCTGCTTTGGGAATTCCACACCTCAAGCCTTGTTTTCCATAGGAGGACCAGATGAGCTGCAGCTTTACCTGATTCAAGCAGTTTTATTTTATTACTGCTTAGTTTCTGCTCCCAGAAATTCTTCCTGAATTACACTAATAGGCCCCAGGTGTATTGCCAAATACACCTGGGGCCTATTAGTGTAATAGGCCCCAGGTGTATTGCCAAATCTGTGATCTTTAAACAAAAAGCCATTCTTTTGCAAGAATTCCTTAACATCTGCAATAGATATTAACAGTGTCTGTATGTTTTCAATATATTATTAGAGATTAGATAATTGGAAATTTGGTAAAAGGAAATATTTCTGTACTGCGGTCATCTATCTGATCAATTTAGGGGACCCCTGTAAAAATAGCCTTTATTTTTTAATTCCATTTAGGAGTAAAAGTGAATTGATTTTTACTTTTATCTTGCACTTAAGTCAAGGTTTTGCTTTGGGAATTTGTCCCATTTGCTTTACTGGGCTTTGTTAATTACAAAAATTTGACTAATTTGTCCACAGACCACAATCCCAATAGCTGTAGGTCATTTTTTTTTAAATATATCACAAGCTATGATCATTCCATGACTGTCCACCATCCTATTCTCCCACAAATCCCATTTTACTAAGTGTCTTTATCATTGTATCATTAATACTGACCTTAAAACTGAAGCTTGAGATGCCTGCACTTCTTTAAATGTTCTCCTTGGTGCTTCTTAGACTTCCTTGAGTTATCGCTGCATCCTTGACGAAATCTGGCACTTCCATTTTAAGATTTCTCCTTCTGCTCAAAGCAGCTCTCACTGTGATCCTGTGCAGTCTCCGGCCTTTAGAAATGGTTTTGTCACCCTTACTAGACCCATGGCAAACATATTCCTTTCTCACTTCTTTTGTAATTTCTTTGGATAAAGGCATAGTTTCATTATAAGAACTTTGTGGTGACGGCTTCACTGTTGGGAAAAGAGGTTCGATGAGGCCTATCTAATCTATCTATTACCATTCACTGTGAAAAAATATCCAGTAGAGAAACATGTTTTCCCAGCACTGCGTCTGCACACATGGCTTCAATTTATGTCCAAATATAACCGTCTCATATATATTTTCCAGTTATTCATTCAGATCATGGTCTGATCTTTCATCACAACAGCTGGCCTTGTCATCATCCATTTAATTAGAATAATGCTGAAATTGACAGTCATCAGTCTGAAGAGGCTATGTCAGATTATTGCCTGAGGCTGATTCAATATTCCTCTATCAAGCGCTCTGTTGTTATGGACCTTTCAAAACAAATGGCATGACTAGAAAATAATGAAGCTGAGGTTTGTTGGTGACAGCGCAGGGCCCTGTTTTCCTTCACTGCACATATTATTTTAACAGCGGGGGACTTGAATCAAACACATGTGGGTTTAACTGAAAACCAGATTCACTGTGTCT